TATATATATATGTCTTCTTTTGCCATTCGTACCAAAAAAAGCCGCAAGAAAGAGAGCATGTACACATTTTTTTTCTTATCTGTAGATGTTACGAACTGTTTTTTTTTTCTTTTTTGTTTTTCTTTTTTTTGTCGACATTCTTTTATCTTTATTTATCGTGTGATGTGTATGCGTATCACTTTTGTCTCATATCTTGTCTCATTGTATATGATTGTATCGGATTTGTGTATGTAGTGTGTTTCGAAATTTAAAGAGATAGTAACGAGAAAAAATAAAATACGACATAAAATATATTGATTCATAGTGATTCATTGTAGCTTCGGCTGCGAAATATGGTAATTGAATCTTGTTTGATAGAAGTTTTTGAAATTCAGATTGAAGAAAATGATAATAGAGAACATACTGTGGGAGATTAGTTGAATATATCTCTGAAAATTGATCATGACTTTTAAAGATTTTTAAAAGTCAATTATCCATTTTTATGTCCCTGCTCAGTTTCAAAATCACGTCTATATATATACAAGATTTTTCATACGATCTTACCAAATTATCCATCAAGATCATACTCTCAGCATTATTCAAAATCTTCAAACAATTCTAATTGTAAGACTAAAACAACTATCAAACAAGAATCATTATATATGAAATTTACAATTATAGCTGTTATGATTACAAGTACATATTGATCAGATGAGCTGTTGATGTTTCCAAAATATTAAACATGAATGAAAATAATGCTGTTTTATTTTTATTTTTTGTTCATATTATTTAAAATAATAAGAAAAAAAATAGTCATTAACTTTAATAATATTTTCTTATATTGGACTTGTGTGAATTATTTGGTGAGGGAATTGATGTAGATATGGTTGTTTGTAGTAAATATACATATATCTGTTGTTCCGGAGATTCGAATGTACTTGAGATAATATTGTAATGAGTGTTTAACTTTTATATTATATTATATATACATAGGCGTATATCCATTGAAAAATATTATTATGTATATGATTATCTATTAAATATATTTATAATTAGGTGTTTTTTTTATAAAGCAATATGTTACTTGATATTATTATAATAAAATTTAGTTGAATATTTTTGTAAAGGGCAGGGGCGCATAAGAAGCCGATTTGGCCCATAGAATATTTTCAGTCACTTTATCGCCTATCCTATTCAGAAAAATGTGGTGATTCTTTTGGTAATAATTTCAAGTCAAGCTGTGAGGATTATAAGCTATTTTGAGGGAGAATACGTGCAAAAAGTATTGAAGTTTCACTGGGCTCATAGTTGTCTAGTATTAGCTCAAAATATGCGACTCTTAGGCAATGTTTCAAGCTCAATCTATATTGGTTAGAAAGAGCGTTTAATACTGCATCGTTTCATATAAAAACTAATATTCTTTCATTAAAAATTTAATCATGAAAAATACTGTCCTTTCACAGGAGTATTATTCAGTACTTCACATCCGAACAATAATTAGAGCTGTTTGACATATTTTTACGTGTAAGCCAAGCTCTTTTATATACCAATCGATAGAGCAAAGAAAGAGCTACAAAATGATACATAATTGATTTGATTTCAACATGGGCCACTATATCGAAAGTGTGCATGAATTGTTCTGGAGCATGAAAAGTACACTTTTCTGCTCATTATTGAGTAAATTTGATAAGAATAATTCGACTTTTGATAGATGAAAACGGCATATTTTAAATCAGCATAAAAAACTGAGTCGATCCATATAGTTTTGAAAATTTTTTGAGTACTTTTATTTTCGTCCAAAAATTCAGGTGGGGTTCCCCTCAGGGTTAGGTCAAAAAATGAAATCCATTATAACAGGGTTTTTATTTATTATTCATTTGTGTTTTGTAATTTTCTTAACTTTTAAGAACTGCAGAACTTGTTTTTCACAGTTGGAATGGCGTTTCAATCGATTTCATTTTTTGACCTAACTCTGAGGGAGACCCCACCTGAATTTTTGGACGAAAATAAAAGTACTCAAAAAATTTTCAAAACTATATGGATCGACTCAGTTTTTTATGCTGATATAAAATATGCCGTTTTCATCTATCAAAAGTCGAATTATTCTTATCAAATTTACTCAATAATGAGCAGAAAAGTGTACTTTTCATGTTCCAGAACAATTCATGCACACTTTCGATATAGTGGCCCATATTGCAATCAAATCAATTATGCATAATTTTGTAGCTCTTTCTTCGCTCTATCAAATGGCATATAAAAAAGCTTGGCTTACACGTAAAAATATGTCAAACAGTTCTAATTATTGTTCGGATGTGAGGTACCGAAGAATACCCCTGTGAAAGGACAGTATTTTCCATGATTAAATTTTTAATGAAAAAATGTTAGTTCTTACGTGAAACGATGCAGAATTAAACGCTCTTTCTAGCCAATATAGATTGAGCTTGAAACATTGCCTAAAAGTCGTATATTTTGAGCTAATACTAGACAACTATGAGCCCAGTGAAACTTCAATACTTTTTGCAGGTATTCCCCCTCAAAATAGCTTATAATCCTTACAGTTTGACTTCAATTTATTGCCAAAAGAATCGCCACATTTTTCCACATAGGATGGACAATAAATTGACTGAAAATATTATATGGGCCAAATCGGCTTCTTATGCGCCCCGGTCCTTTGTTCTTCTAAAAAAAATGATCTTGTATACAATTTCTTTTTTATTACAATAGCATACATTTTTTTTAAACTTATAATGGTGTATAAAATTTGATAAATTTTGATTCATATGATAATGTATATTATAATTTTTAGGTGCCAATAAGATTTGAAAGAATCATATTTCATGTATATTATTTATTATATTCATTGAGTGAATTTTTTATTATACTATTGTTGGTCGACTGTTTTATGTAAATAGAATAGGTAGTATTATATTTAGTGTTGATACAGACCAATGCTTTAGTACGTATAAAAACAAGATTGTCAGGTGATTGGCAGCAAGCATTATTTGAAGATGATACATTTAATTGTTATATATGTTTATATAAATATCAAAAAGAGTAATTATTAATTTGATGTTGTGAATCGTTTATTTTGAGTAGTTGATATTAAATATAATCTAAAAAAAAGAGGTAATTATTTATATATTGTTTATTAATATAGTGATTATTTATCAACTGAGTTTGTCATGATAGATTATTTGGATTTTGTTAATTTTATATGTTATTTGCTAATCTATCATTTATAATTACTTAAAAGGAAAAGAAAAAACAAGTTGATATAAAATGTTATTGTCTGTAGATAGATTTTTTTTGATATAAAATAGATAATACCAAAATTAAATTCAGGATATTTGATTTTTAAAGGTTCATATAATATTGTGTATGCTATTAATATTAATATATTTTGCCAATGCTTTTTAATAATTGTTTTTGTTTTAAAATGTTGTTGTATAGTGGAACTGAGTTTACAGTTCGGTTGAGTATTGGGTTATGTTGTTTGATTGCAATGGATTCACGTATTTTGAGGCGATAATCATTGGTATCTTTGTCGAGTAGTTTGATTTCTTTCCACTTGATTTGGTGATGTTGTTCATTGATGTGTTTGCCCAGAGTTGATTTTTTTGTTTTATGTTGAATGTTTGGATATTGTTTCGGATTTTCTTGGTAATTTGACTGTGTGCCAATTCCGTAACGTTCAATGGATCTAGTTATGCGTTTTGGTCGAGTTGAAGGTTGTTGGGAATTGGTTTTTGTTGGTTGGTGTGTGTTGGTGGTGTTTTCTGTTGTAAGTTGCTTGTCATGTTCATGGGTACGTCGTTCTATTTGACGTAATGCTTTTCCTATGTAAGATGCTGGACATTCAAGACATTTTATTTTGTAGACTACATTTGATTGTAGTTGGACTGGTATTTTGTCTTTTATCTTGAAGAAAGTAGAAATTGAAGGAGGTGCTCTTGATATAGGTTGGACATGTAATTGGGGTCGGATTGACGATGCTATTTTTATTAGTTTCTTACCTAGTTGTTTAGTTGTTTTGTTGAAATATGGAAGGTCAATGTATGTTTGTTCTGTTTTTTTTCATGTTTGTTGTGTTGTTTGTGGATGGTTTGATGTTGTTCTTTTGTTCATAGTACCTGTTGAGTGTTTTTCTAATTATTGATTCGGTGAAGTTTGATGGATAACCATTTTGTGATGCCAGTTCTCGTATACAATCGAATTCTTCGTTGATCAAGTGGAATGTTGAGCAGATCTTTATGCCTTTATATACCATTGAACTTAGTGCAGTCACTTTGTAATTTTTGGGTACGTATGAGGACCAATTGAGTAAGAGACCTGTGAAGCAGTGTTTCCAATGGAAATTTAAAGCAAAATGTACTGTACACTCTGTATTTTATTAGCAAAGTGTATTTTATACTTTGTTTTTTTTTCAGCAAAATGTATCAAAGTGTACGAAAGCCAAATTTTCACAATCTGAAAAACAAAATATAATGTTCGTCATTTTTTTCTTTCATAAGATAAATATTTTGATCTCTAGCGAACAAATAAACGTTATCTTTAATTAATTTAAAACTATATGCTGCTTTTAAGGTTCAAAAATCAAAGAAATCAAAGTGTAAACTATTTTAGCAAAGTGTATATTGTACACTTTGTTTTTCTGGGCAAGTGTACAACAGAGTGTAAATCAAAAGTAGCAGATGCTCCGTACATTTTGTTTCTGCTTGGTACACTTGCCATTGGAAACACTGACCGGTCGGTACTTCTTCAGATCGACGACATCCTCTCTCATTGACCGTGTGATAAAGAGGAAAGGAAAATTTTCCTTTCGTCTTTATCACATGATCAATGAGAGAGGGGTGTCGTCGATCTGAAGAAGTACCTGTAGGTCAATATGAATGAATAAAATGATGGCTAGCACGTTTGAATTGTTACCTGCTGATGTTCTTTTCGAAATATTTGATTATTTGTCTCCTATTGATGTTCTTCAATCATTTTTATCATTGAATAAGCATTTTTCAAGAATCGTTATGTATGAATATTTGTGGCATATTCATATTGGTAATTCAACAATGTCATTATCAATGTTCAACAATCATTGTCAAAATGTTTTGAAATTAGTAGGAACTCGACTTGTCTCATTACGTGTAACATTAACCAATGCTATGGATGGATGGTCACTTGTTTCATCATCTCTAAAATATCATCAAATAACATTGCTTCAACGCCTTCATCTAATCAATACTACACCACATGAGTTTGATAATTTACTGCGTAATCCTTTAATAAAATGATTACATACTTTATTAGTTGATTTGACGTCATCTAGTCCATTTCATTATCTTGATGGTGAAGGAGTTTATTTAACTAAGGTAAGAAAAGAATTATCCCTTGAAAGCATTAGGAAATATTAGATTTATTTTGTATATTTATAAAAGGTGTGTTCTAAATTGCCTCTTCTAACAAATTGTCGACTTCCAATTAATGTTTATCATAAAGGTCGATATGATGTAGACAAATATTCATCGCTATCAATAATGAGTTTACCAAGTTTATTAAATACAATTCATCCTCGTAGATTGACTATTGGTATGAACACGTCACGCTTTCTCAAACGTTTAATATCTTATATACCGTTTATTGAAAATCTTTCTGTTGGTGTAAAAGATCTAGAAATGAAACAGAAGAAGAGTTTTGATATAAACTTGTAAGTAATATTCTATCATTTGTAAAAGTAATCGTCACATGAATATTTTTAGACTACCTGCCGCTGTCGATGCTCATCTTCTTTTGTATCTATCTTGTTTACATATAAATTCTAAAGATAGCATTAGTTTTCACCGAGCTATTGCGCTTTTATCGTCTGTGTTTGGTCAACTTCGTCATCTATCGTTGAAATTAGAAAGTGATGTAGTAATCTCTAGTCCATTGACTATATCAGGTAATATTATTCAAGAGTTATGTATCAATCGTCTCAATCAAGGAGCAATCTATAATCTTTATCTAGATTTACATGTTAAAAATGATGCGAAGGAAAAAATAATTTTTAATTCATTTTTGACAGCTCCATTTACTAATCGACCACGACCGAAAGTGTTTATTCAAGAACTTATTAGTAACGATGTCGAGCATGATTGTCATTATTTTACGGTATTCACTTTACCATGTTATGAAAGAAAACTTCGAACATACATGTTTTCTAGGACTCTAGAAAAGTATCTAGAAAATACCTTATTTGTATGAATGATGTTTAGAAAGTTTTCCTTTTTTTCTATTTAGATATTATCCAATGCCAATTCATGCGGTAGATTTGTTTCCACGCGCTAATGAATTAGTTCTTCATGGTTATAGGAATGAGAATTGTGTTTTAGAGCTTGATAATGTTGCAAGTTCTATATCATCATTAGTTCCGTGGTCATTATTAAGAAAAACTTCAATTGATAATAGTGATGTTGGTACTACAGCTGAATTAGAATCAATATTACGGATGGCTTATAATGTGCATTCACTACATATATGGGAAAATACTGGAAATTTTCGCCAGGCGGTATTACGTAATATTAATAAACTTGGTACTCTGGTCAATAAACAAGTACGGAGTTTATTTTAAGAGAAAAATTTCATTGATATTAGCTTGTCTGGAAATTGTGCTTTATCTGATATTTATATTTCTTTTTAAGAAAATTCTTTTTATTTAAATTCTTCAAATTTACTGTTAGAACAGAAAGATTATTATAAACGACTGAACTTATATAACAACGATATATTATTTTTCATTTCTCTTCGAATAAATAAGATTTTCTATTAACTAGGTACAAACATTGGAGATGTACAATGTGACATTGTCGTGGAAAAAGTCTTTAGATTTTTGCAAATTATTGTCGAATCAATTACCTAATTTGAAAAGAGTTTTTTTTTTATTATACATGATTCGTATCTTGGACTGAGATGGACGTCATTGCCTATGGCTAATCGTAAAAATAAATCTACAAAACGTATACTTAAACTTATTTATTTCCTTGTTGTTCATTTGCAACAACTTGTTTCGCTTCGCATCAACTTTATTAATTTGACCGGCTCTAAAATATCTTGTCATCCACATCTAATCCAACAACGAGTACATCAATATCCTATTAGACGATCGTATCGATTACGATGTGACCATGGTACGATTGAAATGTGGCTTTAAAATCACATTTATCATATATGAACATTTTTCTACTGGAATTTTTTTTTGTATGTAAAAGAATAGCAATAAAACTATATAGAAACGTTCAATTTCTTTTTCTTACTTTAGTCAAATTTTAAAAATTCTAGTGAAAATCTTATTTTTAGCAAATGACAAAAGACCTGCATCCGAAAGTTTTATCTTCAATTTCAATTCGAAGTATTTCTATAGGAAAAATCTAGTTGAATTTAATTCATAAAGAAAAAGTTTAGTAAAACATGCTTTTCGACTAGTCATATAGACTTCAGTAAGTTCTCTAGTGAGAAATATTTCTTAAACTAAAATATAAGAAATGGATAATATCTATTTATATTTTACAAATCGATTTTTCTATACAGAATATTACAACAATTATCTGTTATTATTCATCATTGTGACAAATTTTAATGAAAATCTTATAGATTATTAATAGATGTTTAACAAAAACAGTAACTGATGTGCGATAATTATTAAATGGTACATATTTACGTTGTTCAAATTTTGAAGAAAATGATCTATCATTTGTCGATTTAATATTCTCTATTTAATAGTAAATATGATAGAAGATGAACTTTTCGAGATTGAAAGAAATTTTCAAGTATGTTTTGAATTAATGAAGATTTTTATAAAAATAATAATTATTTCCTCGACTATAGAGAGGATCAATTTGAAATAAAATACGTTTGTGTCTATGTATATATGTGTCAGGGTCAAAGGTAAAAAAAAAAGAACATGTCCTTAGAAAAGGTTCAAGTTTGACCAAAGGTTTTTGTCATCCAGAAATCGATTTGTACCATTAGTTTTTCAAAAATTTTTCAAATGATTTTTATTTTATTAAAAAAGACCTTTTTTAAGAAAATAATGATTTTTTTTATAAAGTTTGAGCAAAAGTTTTTGGGCGGAAGAAGTCCGGATCCATCAGTCATTTCTTAAGATAAATGACTCCGATAACCACAGTATGGGATGTCAATTCACTCAATAATGTATCCTCAGTACACCACGCAATTCTTTTTGTTTCAAAATAGAACTAAGCGAGGCTCATGGAGCTGACACGATACTTTTCGTCCAGCATTTTTCAACTTCACTTAAATCCAAATCGTTTTTTTTATTGTATTCGTTTGATATCATTGATGAAATGAAAAGTATGATAAGATTATATGAGTTTAAGGGCAAAGCTATGTAAAAGCTATTAGTTTTTATATTTCATTTCGAAGTAATTCTTAGAATTTATGGACAATGATTTTAGATAACTTTGAGTCCTTTTAACAGCAGCCAAAAAAATAAAGTCATTAATTTCTTTCAATAAGATAGACAATAAATATTTTCCAATGAAAATTGCTTTACCTGAAAATGTTTCCGAACATGAAAAATATTTCCACCAATAAATACTTGTTGCATTGATTTACTTAATAACACTCTTCGTTTACAATTAAGTTTATCTACAGATACAAGATTATTTGAACTACTTTCCAATTTTCATTCGAGATTCTAAATGTCAAATTCCTCAATCACTTACATTAGGGTCTTATATAAGGGTCAATTCTTCGCGACCCAACGTTAAAGATAGTTTTTGGGCAATCAAAGTGAATTTTTCAGATATTAAAAATCTTTTCAGTGAATCTGTACAAATTCTCTCAATATTCGAAATAAATAAATGATTGTCTCATCTAGAGTTGCTGTTTGTCTTATGCGAAGTTCGAAATCGATCAATTTATTATGACTCGACCAAAGGAGAAATATTTGACTTTATCAGACTTGAAAAGACTTCATGGCTGAAGTCTCTGCTGTTTCCCCCTCCGACTCGACCTGATCCGAGTCGAAGATTGACTCACATCTCGTTTTTCATCATCAACATACTTAAATTTGACGCATTTGTCGCATATGCTGTCACATCTTTATCTTTTTCATTCGCTAATAACATTGATAAATATTTTTTATCGAGATCGTCTTCTTTCGATACAACATCTTTCTCATTTATTTTTAATGATGAATCTTTTTCAAATGCTTGATATTGCATTCGTTGTGCATTGTGTTTAAACCCGAACACATTATATGTAAACTTATTCTATGAAGAAAATGCATAGCCGTAGTCGAAATGGTAAGGCTTGTTTAAAAAAACGTTCGATTCATTGAATTTTCTTGTTTTATTTCAACGTTGATATTGTTTTTTAATATAAGTTCAATCGAATGCAACATTGTGACCGATAACAAGGGATGGAATGGATGGATTCGATTCTATTGGAATCATATCATTTAATTCAACATTTTATTTTAAACGAAACTCTTCATCGATTAAAACGAGAACTATACCAAGAATACCTGACATATGGAAAGAAAAAATTTTTAATATGAAGAAAGCGTTGTACAGTGTGTATCACTCAAATCACAAAGCAATGATTAGGTGAAAGTACTACGGTCAAAACAGGAAATTTCCTTCACAAACCAAAGTTTCAACATAAAAAAACCATCACTTGCTCTTCCAGATAATCAACCGAAGTTGTTATTTGACCATTTTTTCAATATATTTTTTAAGCAAAAAAGTCAATAATAAAAGAAATCGATTCAGAACAAACTTTGTCCATCCTTTAGCATATCTCCATTGCATTGGTTTTGGTGGAATATGAACCTTAATTAATTGATTAATTAGATCAATATAAGGTTTTGATTGTTTTCATGGAATAATTTCAAAGTGTTCATTTAAATCTTGACTTTCTAATGGTGTTAAATTAAATTCAATATTCTCAAGTATTTCACTTTCCTTTGAACCAAGATCAAAATGTTCAACATCTTTGTCAATATGATTTTTTTTTCTTGTTCGAGTTAAGACAGATAATACAGAATAAGAAGCATAAAAGAATGATGATTGTTCATACCTTTCTTAAGTTTCTCTATAAAGTCTGAAATATCATAGAAAGTTGAGAAGGTGTGTGTATGGGTGTGTAGGTGTATTTTTTCTCCTCGATTGAACCCACATTTACACTTCAATGAATCGATAATCTGAAAATAGTTATCTTATTGATGGCCAGAACTCAAGAAGATTTTAAGACAGTAATATTCAGTTATGTAAAGCCATCGACACATTAGAAGACCCGGGGTGTTCTATTCTGTCTTAACGTTCACAAGTTAAAGTGGGGGGGGGGGGGGGGGGTCTTCTTTTTTGTCTCTCAAAAAAATCATTTTTTTTTTCTGAACCACCCAAAAAAGTTTTTTTGACTTGATTTTTGTCCAATATATTGTTGGTAAATGAGTTTGCTTCACTTATTTCACATGTGTAGAATAAGAAAGAAACAGATATCATTCTGTGAAAAAGGAAGACCATCGTTGGTAAGAAGTGTTCTTAGAGCAATACAGTCAATGTAGCCTAGCATCTTGGTACGATATCCCATATCGTTCTTTTTTCTCTAGGCTAACACCTATCACTGGCAACATTTTACCTTCTCAATAACTAAATAAATCTAAAAAAAAGAAAATTAATTTTTTTTATCAAACTTATTTTATTTAGTTGCTTATGTGGAGATGTGATTCGTATAGACGGAATCTATTCATAATGAATTCTGCTAGTAGCAAAGTTATTAATCTTAAGCTAACTTCAATGAATACGATTGTCTTGTGAAGAAACCATCTATAGAAAATCAGCAATTGAATACACACACTGTGTTTCCTTTTGCGCCTGTTTCAAAAAATGCCATTGTATCTTATTGAAAAAAGAAATGCATTCTGAAACTCAAAAAAAGTACTCACATATCAAATCTCGACGTTTATACAGTCTACGCAAAAAAATTCTGAGACATTCNTACTTTACTCTACAAACGCAAAACTTCTACTTTTAATATTATATGAAACTGTACCCAGTAACTATACTTAAAATATATATAAAGTTTGTTTCAAATGGAATATAAAATTTTGCAGAACCATTCTTGAGTGTTCCAGAATTTTTTGTGTAGACTGTGCATGAAGTTATGTTTTCTTCAATTATGAAAGACTGTTTTGTGGTGAAAACGTTTCCGATTTTCTAGAAGAAAGTCAACGATAAAAAGACCTTGTGATTAATACAAAGCGGCACTTTACCTAATCTGTTACTATTGTACGAAGATGCCTTCACTTGTTACATGAACGAACGAGCACTGCGTTCATTAGATCCTATGACTGTGGAAGCGTGTTTTTCGTGTCTAGAGTCTGAAGAACGTATTCAAAGTAAGCTGCAAAGGAGTACTAACATGACTCCATGGTATATTTTTACAAAGGAACGCAATCTTTAATAGACAATTGTTTTCTATTAGCTGCTTCTCAGGATTTTACTCATTCGAGCCTGGCACTTGGTTATGAGGGAGGAAGCAAGATATTGTTTGTACTGAATTTCGATATCATTCTAGGCTTAAATACTAAACAAGTCAATAAACTCC